TCGGAAGATGTTAGAGACAAGTTGGTAAAAATTGTCAACAGACCTTAATGCGACAGGAAATTATTAATATCATTCGAATTGTGTTACAGTTCTCGTGTTAGTATTTGTTGTCTATAATAGAAGAAGAGAATCTCATATTAAGTATCCTGGGCCTGACGATGACGTGAGAGAAAATATTATCAATTACGACGACGAGGGTGGCGGAGAAGACGATATGACCGCATTTGACATTACACCGCTTCAAATTCCTATTGGAGGCCCGATTCCAGAAATGGGTGGAAAACTACCGCAATGTAAAGTATCCTGTAAGTAATCTTTCTCTTATTTCTGATTCGATATGTCATAATTTCACGATATTTCATAATTTCACTCCATAGAAGTTAAAGTTTCTTCAGAGACTGATCATTCCGATTGCAAATTCCTTTCAGATACACTTGGGCCGGAACCTAACGTTGGCGTTTTCATAGAAGACCATAAAAAGAGAGCTGACAGTGATCCAAACGCACCACCGTTTGATGATCTACGAAATTACGCATACGAGGGTGGTGGCAGCATCGCGGGCTCATTGTCATCGTTAGCTTCCGGTACGTACCTTCCTTCCTTTAATTTTACATTACTTTGCATAACAATTTTTGATTTCTTTAATCATTCTTTATATAATAATTCTGAGAAAAGGAAGAAAGAAAATTAGTTCTACAAAAGTAAGAGAAATCACGAAAAATTATTTGGAATTCGGCAGGAACAGACGACGAGCAACACGAGTACGAATACTTGGGTGCCTGGGGACCGCGATTCGACAAGCTAGCCGACATGTACGGGCCGGCGGAAGAAAGCGAAGAGGAGGACTAAGGGCGCTACGAAGTATCCCTAAAAACCCATAAGCTCGCACGATCCGTACACCCTCGAAGGAATAGTGTGTCCGCGTGAGCTTAGAAAGGAAGAAGATAAAGAGAAAACGAGAAAGGGACTGTCCTCTACGAAACGTGTATACTCGAACGAACTTTCTATAACGGAGACGAAAAAACGAGAAAAAAACATGAAAGCGAATCACGACGTAATTGACGAAATGGAAAGGAGAGAAAAGAAAAATTACCGTTATCGGAGTTTTTTACGTTACTCAAGCAACAAGGACATTCCGTTTTGTTCACCAAGCATGTGCACGTTTCCTGGCGTGCGGCTCATATTTTTCCGCAGATGCGCACACGCGAACAAAGGACAAGGCATCCACGCGGTGTGCGCGATTACGAGAGAAAGAGAGAGAAAAGCGAAAACATCCCCTGGCCGACGTCTAATTAAATCCAGCCGCATGTCGATGGCGATCTCGCGAAAAGAGCTTTCTATCCAAATAATCTACCCCGAACCCTGTAAGAACGAACGTTGTTGCAATAAGAGTCTCTTGTCGAGTCACGGCCAATCGTTACGGCACACCGTAGGTGGCGCGTAACCCTCGAAGGGTGTATACCTATCTGTATAGCACGTTACGCGTATACGTAGTGAATTCGCGCGTGTATGCCTGCACGCGAGACTTTTCTATTTATAAAATAAATCTATATATATATTATATATATACGATTCATTATTTTTAGTCACAGTCATAGTTACTATTTATCGGTAAAACCGACCTCAATGTCTCGGTATTCGATCGGTTAATTATCGTCGGCGCGACAGCATCGGTTCCACTGCAATTATATTCGCGAACACGTCACTAACTGCCAGCCGTGCGCGTGATCGAGTCGCATTTCGATTTTTCATTTTGTTTTTCCTTTCTTTTCTCATTTCACCTCGTGTACACGTAGGTTACCAAATGACCGTATATGATAGTTTAAGGGCATTTCTCGTTTATCCGTCTTTTAAGGTCCCACCAACTTCAACCCTAATTGTCCACCCCCGATTTATGGTATTAGCGAAGTCTGGAAGGTTAATCGACGCGTTTGGTTTTTCGTTCCCATCGCGAACGCGCATCGGCTAACACGGTCCCCATGTAACGCACCATGAACTCGTATATCGACGTTGTTGAGTGTAAGAGGAGAACGAAATGCTGAGAAATGGCACATTCGCGGCGCCTTCCTGGTTCGCGGGATGCGGACGATCCTAATGTGGTCTATCGTACTAAAATAGGATTATTTAAGAGAGAAAGGGAGAGAGAGAAAGAGAGAGTGAGAGAGACACGTTTAGCTGTTGTTCGCGAGTCGTGAACCATCCTCATCGTTGTCATCGTCACCGTCACCAACATCCTCATTAATTATTGATAGTATGATTATTGACATTACGATAAATATATATATTATAAATATGGATTTATAAATAAATAAATGAATAAATATAAATATATAAATATATAAATATATATATAATATATATAATT